TCATGACCTTTTGTAATGAGATGCGTTTGGCCTGTGTTTGGAACGTGTATAGGACTTGCTCAACATCTGATTTCCGTTTGAAAGGTTTATGCAAGAGGGGGGTCCCTGTTGGACAGGACAAGTGGTACTCTCTCCATTCCCTTATACAAGGTCACTATGAAAAATACATTTTACATCTATACAAGGTCACTAACAGTAATCGAGGAAAAAATTAATGATGTCTTCTTGTACTGGCAACTTGTTTAATCCTTGCATTCATGTAGTCATAATGACACTGTGCTACTTTCTTCTCATTCCTTCTTTGCATGCATGCAGGCGTATTAATGATCCCAGTTAGGCTGGTCGTAATGAGGAGTATCATATACTAGTATCGCGCATATGATACTAGTGTATGATACTACTTCCGTAATGCATAGTATTATAAATTAGTATGTTAGGTTGCCTTATTAATTGCCATGCATGACACAAAGCAGTCCAACATTTAATATAATACGGTACCATGATATGATACTACATCCTTTCTTTCCTCATTTAATTGTGTGCCACATCATCCAAAAAGTCTAGTTGGCATGCATGATACCACTTATAATACTCCCATTACGATCAGTCTAACGAAGAGAAAGTAGTCTTGTAAAGCAGTCATTAAATTTTACGTTGATACATGTAATTTGAGTTTGTGGCCATGTTTTTTTGCGAGAAAACTTCCAACCTATTCATCTAGAATCATGGCAATACAACGAACACTTGAAATAAAAAAATGCATCCAGATCCGTAGACCACCTAGCGACGACTATAAGCACTGAAGCGAGCCGAAGGCACGCCGCCGTCATCGCCCCTCCGTCGGCGGACTCGGGCACAACTTGTTGTAGTAGACAGTCGGGAAGTCGTCGTGCTAAGGCCCCATTGGAGCAGCACCCCAGAACAGCAACCGCCTTGATGAAAAATAACGTAGATCGAAGGATCCAAACCGAAGACACACGAACGTAGACGGACAACGACGAGATCCGAGCAAATCCACCGAACAACCACTACGCTGCTAGGACGAGCCACCGACGCACCACTATCGCCAATCCCTTATCGAAGCTGGTCTGACCTTGTCGATGATAGCCAAAAAGACTTCGTGCATGTGCCCCTAAGGGCTGTCACTCCAGAGTTGTAGTCATCACTATTGAACTCTTTTATGGATCCAAAGTATCTGACACCAAAAATCCCCATCTTGCACTCACGGCGTGAAATTTAACCTCGCCGCCCTAAGCAGACAACAAAAATATGTCAGAGCTCCACCAAATCCATCCTGGTAGACCAACTCAAAGATGAAGTGTCACCATCTGCCACAGCATCGCCCGTACGAGGACTAAAAAGCCCAAACCTAAACTACTAGACCGAGGTATCAGGACTCCCCTCCCCGTCGTTGGTTGCAGAGCGGCGGACACATGCGAGGAGAATCCACGAGCTCATCGGAGGGAACGAGCCTTCGCCCTATCCGCCACCGCGTGAGGGGGAGGAATAGATTGCTCGTAGTTTTGTAACCAAATTAACTAAATCCTAACTTTGTGCCGAGTTGTTAGCGGTATATTGTACACCTGTTTCTGAGTAATATAAAACACCCTTTTTCACCGAAAAAAAGAAGTCAACTAGTCACGTGTGATGACTATATATAGTCAACTAGTCAATTGGTGTGCTATAGTTTTCGAGAGAAGTGCTTTACACCCCCAACTCTAGCCCTAGTTTAATATACACCCCCTCCCCAATTCTAATACCGTCTAATCTACAAACCATGAACTCTCAAAATTGACTAGAATTCAATCCTCCCCTTTGGTTAACCGATTTTGACCCGCTGGTTGGGTGAACAGTGCATTATAAAACTTGGAAATTTTATTTAATATTTTTAATTTATGTTTCACCTGGTGAAAAAATGATTTTTTTCGAAAAAATAAAAAAAATTTGCCCCCTCATCTGCACTGGGTGAACAGTAAATAAAAAATTATAAAAATAAAAGAATACTTAAAAATAAAAAAAATCCGATTCTTTTGCATGGAAGATGTCTCAATGTGTCAGGTCCGTGCTAATTTTAATCGCGTTCATACATACATTTGAGTAGCTCTCAGCAAAAAAAATCGGCCCAAACAGTAAACTATTACAAAGACTCCACATTTGTTTTTTTACCGAGAGCTACTCAGATGTCCAAACAACCTCAAATTTGGCACGAACATGACGCATTTAAACACCATTCATGAAACAACCCAAATTTTTAGTATTTTTTTTTAATTTACTGTTCACCTAGTGAAAAAAAATTCACATCTTTTTTTAAACTTACTGTTCACCCAGTGAAAAATAAGAACTATATTTTTGATTTTTTTTAATTTACTATTCACCCAGTCATCGGGTCAAAACCGGTCAACAGGGAGGGAAGGGTTGAATTCTGGCCGATTTTGAGAGTGGGGGTTGTAGATTAAACTATATTAAAGTTGGCGGGAGTATATTAGACTAGAGCCACAGTTGGGGGTGTAATATGTACTTCTCTCATAGTTTTCTGCTCTCAACCCTAAGTTAGAGCTCAAAGCATATATCTTCCAGACTTAATTAGTAGACTTTGTTTTAATTTTCAACTTGAACCAGAGCTGAAATTTAACACACAAATTAACTAGGGCAAGAACGTGATGTTTCTAGTGGTTTTTTCCCGTTGAGTGAATGAATGAATTGGTGGCAAAAGCTAATACAACATGGGTTTTAACTTCTGTAGGCAAATCTAATGCTTACTTTTTGGAGCCAATCAACTAGCTACCCTGTAGAATAGGCATGTTCTTTCAGCATTGCTAAACCCGTTGACTTGTTGATTATGACAATACCTCATAAAAATTGGAACGTACTTTCACATTTTAAAAGCATAGATGACAAGAACATCCATCCTACTATTTCTACGGTGACCATTACTTGCGTTATTATTTTATCTCCTTCCAGTTGCAGGGTTCTTACAACGGGAACTTTTAGCATTGGCAGTTGCAACGGCAAGTTGATGCAAGCACATCAAGGCATTTTTGCAACAAACTATATGATGTGTACAACAATAATACAACTCAACAGTTTCTGCATATCCTGTTGCCAAGTGATTTTGAGCATCCACATATGTGCTGAATCCTTGTGTTGTAAGTACAACAACTATTCCTTGAAACTGCTAGGAAAATTAGGAAACAACCACTGTGAATATATAGATAATACATAGATGCCAACTCAATGAAAAAAAAGTAAACTTCGGTCTTAGAACGGTAAAAAATAATTCTCCAAAGAGGTAGATTTTTCCAACTCCTTTTTTTTTAAATGATTGTGGTTTCAGTCAAGTTGCGCAATTTTTTTTTGTTACATCTAAGATACGATCATGAAACTTGGGCTGCACTAGCCTCCCTGTTTTAGCAACTACCGTGGCTCCTCTTCCCTCACGCCTGCCGTTCCACCCTGATTCTCAATCGCACCTAGCACCCCACCATCCTCCTACTCCTTATTGTGTCACATGACTGGCTTTGCTCCTTATCAATTGTCCAACATAAACACCATGTTGGCAGCTGCGCTGGCTTCTCCCCATGTCACTGGCCACCCCATCCCTTGATCCCATCGGCTGGTCTGTTGGCTTCTCCCCATGTCACCGGCCCTCACCCCTTGATCCCAACTATTTTTACTTAGTATGGCCCGGTCCTCCTACCATCATGTTTGTCACTGTTGCTAGAATTAATTTATCAGTCATCGAGTGCTTCATCTGTATTATCCACATTGTCTTTTTAAGGTGAATGTGTCAATATTTGTAATTTGATTCATTTGACGGTTGTTTCTGTTTTGATTATGAACTTGGATGTTGGAGTATTTTGAACTCGATAATCTCATTCTCATATTATCATGTTGTTACGTTCTCCAACTTATTCTTCCTCGTCCTCAAAGCGGTAAAAAGAAAGAAGCAAAAAACATGACGTGGCATGAGACTGACAGGTGGGACTGTGGGAGCCCACCTGTTTTTTTAGGGAAAGGAGCTCACCTGGGTTGGGTCGAAGTCGCACCAGATCAACCCTAAAAAAAAGTCAAACCAGATCAGAGACCAAACCGATGCTTTCCCATTCCCTCGTCGTCGCCGTCGCCTCCGTTGCCGCACTTCCGCTGTCTCCGTGGGTGGTGAGGGAGTCCTGGATAAAGGGTCTCCGGACAGCCGGACTGTTGGACTATGAAGATACAAGATTGAAGACTTCGTCCCGTGTCCGGATGGGACACTCCTTGGCGTGGAAGGCAAGTTTGGCGATTCGGATGTAGATCTCCTCCTCTGTAAACCGACCCTGTGTAACCCTAGCCCCCCTCCGGTGTCTATATAAACCGGAGGGTTTAGTCCGTAGGACAACAACAATCATACCATAGGCTAGCTTCTAGGGTTTAGCCTCTCTGATCTCGTGGTAGATCAACTCTTGTAATACTCATATCATCAAGATCAATCAAGCAGGAAGTAGGGTATTACCTCCATCGAGAGGGCCCGAACCTGGGTAAACACCGTGTCCCCAGCCTCCTGTTACCATTAGCCTTAGACGCACAGTTCGGGACCCCCTACCCGAGATCCGCCGGTTTTGACACCAACATTGGTGCTTTCACTGAGAGTTCCTCTGTGTCGTCGCGATAAGGCTTGATGGCTTCTCCAACCTTCAACAACACCGTCCTAGGTGAGACTTTTCTCCCCGGACAGATCTTCGTGTTCGGCGGCTTCACACTGCGGGCTAACTCGCTTGGCCATCTGGAGCAGATCGATAGCTACGCCCCTGGCCATCAGGTCAGGTTTGGAAACCTCAACTACACTGCCGACATCCGCGGAGACTTGATCTTTGATGGAATCGGGCCCGTGTCAGGAGTGCCGAACAGTCATGACGTGCATGACCTAGATCTGCAGTCGGACAGTATTCAGAACATCGCGCCTGCTACAGCTCCGGACTTCGTTCCAGAGCAGGTCGTGCCTTCCGAGGACGGGTGGATGGACCCCGCCCCGAAGGCCGTACACTCATCGGTGTTGGAGCCGAACACAGACTCCTCTCCTCAGGAAATCTGTACCTCCGGACCCCCAGACTCATCCCCGGTAGTGTGCTCCGGACCGCGCGCGCTCGTGCCCATCGAATCTAACTAGGCTCCGGTCATGGAGTTCGCCGCCGCGGATATCTTTCAGCACTCACCCTTCGGAGACGTGCTGAATTCATTAAGGTCTCTCTCTTTGTTAGGAGACACCTGGCCGAACTATGTCCGACTCAAATGGGACACTACTAGGAAAAGGCCTACTAATGGCGCACCTAATTTGGCCATTAATGGCGCATCAGTGGTGCGCCATTAGTGCCACGTCATTAGTATATTTTACTAATGGCACACCACTGGTGCGCCATTAGTATCTGGTATACTAATGGCGTACCACAGGATGCGCCATTAGTATATACAACAGTGCGCCATTAGTATGCCTCCCAGGGGGCCATGTATACCCAGGTGCTTTGGCATACTAATGGCGCACAACAGCAAGATGCGCCATTAGTAACTTCGGCATACTAATGGCGCACTGTCTAATGATGCGCCATTAGTATCCTTTGGCATACTAATGGCGCACCATGGTGTGATGCGCCATTAGTATGAATATTAGGTTTTTTTATTTTTTTATTTTCTGTTTTTTGCACAGGTTACAAAATGTATAATTGGACAAAATATAGACAGCACACATCAACAACAGATTCATCGAATACAATAGAAGATTAGTCTCTGAATACAATTCATCATATTAGTCTCCGAATTGAAAAGACCGAACAAAGATAGAACATTATATTACAAGTCTCGAGACCGCGAGTAGCGAGTTTGTCTTCACATTACAAGTCGATATCGATCATCTAAACTACCATCACATAAAAGAGAGCTGCGGTCATCACGATGAGCATCATCACGATGAAACTCGTCTTCATCCGGTTCCTCCAACGCTCCCTCCCCTCTCCCGCTAGATAGCGGGCGTATCTAGATTCGGCCTCGGCCCTAGTGGTGTACCCTTTGTAACTGTTACCGCTGAATCGGTGAACCTGTCTCCGACACTCCTCCCAGTCATCGTAGACTCCGGGAACCTTACCCTTGTACACGACATACGTCGGCATCGCTATGCACTAGCCAAACGAAACGTTAGTACCAATTCACAGACAATACATAAGCAATATATAAGTATGCAACAGAACGATCGGAAGAGAAAAGCAAGACATTAATAGCATGGATTACATCTAAGTTGAACGACTCTCGAAACCAAAGAGACATACTACAAGTTCATTAAAGTTTAATTACAACATGAGCCAATCGATGTTTCAGAACTAGACACAGCATCACTGCTTTCGACTCGACTCAAGGGACCGGAGCGTGGATGAAGCCGCCGTCTATCGTGGGAGTCATGAAAGAACGGGCGTTGTCAGCCTGCATTTGTAGCATTGTGTCGATGTCACTGTTGGACGGTTGATTTCTGAGGTAGAACTGCCCCGAGGTACGAAGGACATCTTGATGGATGATTTCCGCAAACTACGACTGGATGCGAAAGAATTCTTGTCGGAGGTCCGCGTCCTGGATTGCCGACACGCTCTTTGCCCAATCTTTGAGTTTACTCGGTAGCAGAAGTTGATGATGGTCCCGTACAATCGTCCGCATGTGATGGATGGCGTAGTAGGCACCCTTCTGACCGCCAGGCGGCTGCTTGACACAGCAAAACGTCGTATTGTGGGAGAACACGTGCTTGTCATACTTACGAATAGACATGCTGAAGGTGCCTCCAGATTTGGCGTGTTCGGTCTCTCGCCTTCTCAGATCGCGCGCCTCATCTTCCTCACCGGTGTCACTTTCCGCTGCAGATCCATCGTATCCACGCTGGAGTACTTCTTGCCCCTCTTCGGGTCCTACGACAACCTCCTTCCAGCCCTCAAGGGTGGCTCTGTTCTCTCGTCCAACCTCGAGCGGGTGGTCAAGCCCAATGTCGCCTTCCTGCGCAAGTGCGGACTAGGTGCTTGTGATATTGCCAGGCTCTGCATACCTACGCCATCGCTGCTCAGCATCAGCCCGGAACGCATCCGGACATCAGTCGCGTGCGTCGAAGGTCTTCTTGGTGTACCCCGTGGATCTCCAATGTTCAGACATACGTTACAAGCTGTTGCATTCCTCAGCGAGGAGAAAATCACCACCAAAGTGGAGCACTTGAAGAAAACGTTCAAGTGGTCGGATGCTGAGGTGGGCATTGCTGTTTCTAAGGCTCCAACAGTGCTACATAGGACTAAGGAATCGCTGCAGCGCAGGTCCGAGTTCCTCATCTCCGAGGTGGGGTTGGAACCGGCATATATTGCTTGTTGTCCGGTATTACTCATGTACAGCTTGGAGGGCCGGCTCAGACCCCGATACTACGTCGTTAGATTTCTCAAGGTAAATGGATTGCTAGATCACGACCGGGACTACTATGCTGCAGTCATGATCAGCGAGAAGGTATTCGTCGAGAAGTTCATATGCCCTCATAAGGATGCTGCACCGCATCTCGCTGAAGATTATGCAACAGCTTGCAGAGGGGAGGTTCCAGCTAGATTCAGTTTTACATGAACCAAGACTAATAAGAAAATTGGTATGTTCATTATGTCATTCGGTAGAGAAGAAAGCATTGCACTGCTATGAACTTATCCTTCCTCATGTTGTCATATTGCACACATCTTGGAACTAGGAGAGTATGAGATCAGGGCATTCTGCAAATGCTTTGAAGTATCAATGAGTAGTATTTCTGCACATTCTCTGTTTGTATGTTCTGAAATGGCCATTTCAGTTTTGAATGCAACCCTCTATCTATCTTTCCATGAAAGAATGTTCTCATTTTGGCCATGAAGATGATATGAAGTCTCAACCTTTCCTTTGCATGAAATTTTTGGACCCCTTTTTCTGTGGGAAACAATTTTGGGTCTGTTGGTGGCCAGTTGGCTACAGTTTGCTGATCACTGCCAATGATGCAGTTTTGATCTAGTTTGTTGGTTGCTTGCTCTAGTTCATCTAAGCTAAATACCTTTTCCTTCGTGCAGTAATTTTGTTTATGAGATATTAACTATTGTTGAAGACGGCCATTATTTACTAGTAGTTTGTATCAGTTTATTTATTTATTTGTCTCGTGTATGGCCGATTCTTTTCTTGGGCCATCTGATCTCCAAACTGGCTAGTTGAGTAGTAGGATAGTAGCGTTTCTGTTGATTGCCAATTTGTATACACTACGCAACAGATATTTCAAGTGCCCTGGTATTCGTACCAGAGAAGCAAACCGATGCTTGTATGGTATGGTGCTGAAAAGCAGAGGGCAAAGGAGATGGTCGATGCTAATACCTGCGAAGAGATGTGATTTAAAGATCAACTGTGTGTCCCTTCTCTGGTACTTGTTGAAATTGTAGAAACAAGATTAATGAAATCTAGGTGAGGGGAACGGGTCGAATGATGAAGTGACTTACCACCAGGTGAGAAGATGTTGAAAAGGGCTGGGCAATAGAAGCATGCTAATTTACTGAATGTGGATGGTGCTTTCTTTCTTCCAGGTGAAGATGTGTTGAAACCGGATGTAGATGGTGCTTTTTTTCTTCTTCCAGGAAACGAGACGAAACATGGCGGCAATGGCTTGGCTGTACTATACATTATTCTGAAGGTTCTGTTAGTTTTTGACACCCTGAAGCTTCAGCAACAAGTATGGCCTGACAATGCATGAGTTTTATTCAGGGAAGCTCCTACTTTTCTCTTTTTTGCATCTTGCAAGTAAAGTAATCTTTCTAGTATTGTACTATAGCTTTGAATAAACTAGCAGCATCTGGTGCTTTAATCAATTTTCTACTTTTTTGGTGCATCTTCACTTGGATGTAAACAATCTGAACGAGTCACTCATGCATGTAAAAAGTAGGCGGTATGTAAATTTTGTACTCTGAAGTCTGAACTCTGAATTTCAATCAGAGCTGAACGTAGCCATGAACCTTTCAAACTTCATGTGTGAACTCTGAAACTTATTATAGAAAGTTGCCAGCAGCTAATAGGCTAAACTTTTATTTACGATTTGACTTCAGTCTCTTCAGAGCCACAACTATTATACAGAGAAGAGTATCAACATTTTCCATTATCATGGCAGCATATGTATGACAAGAGTTCTTTTATGTTTTCAGAATGTTGGGACTGGTCTTAACTAATTATGATGAGAAATCACTTTCTTATCTTAAATACATCAGTGATTGTAGGATTTTGATTCTCCTGTTGTTTTCATAAATGTCGAATTTAGTCTATTAAATAGGCATGTTTTCATACAGGTTCACCAAAAGGGAAATGCCATTTTTACAGTGTTGGGGGATAAAAATGTTTTACATTGAAGTGTAAAGCGTACATTTAGTATCTATTGTATTGAAGGCACGCTGATGAAATCCAAGTGCAAATGCTAGTTGATTAGCATCATTCTTATTTCTGCAATTTATTTCTCCAACATTTATGCATATCCATTTCGAGTAGATAAATAAACTTCACTAGTGAACTTACTGCATGAAGGCAATGTGCTGAAAGTTGATAATGAAATACAGCTCCTGAATTAATCCCGAAAATTATAACAATTATTTCTATGGAGCAGAGACGGAAAGACCACCGCAGCCGTGAGGACGACCAGGAGAGCAGCACCAACTGGAGGATGATGTAGTACTGCTTCTGTTGCCAGATCAAACTCAGCAAGGTTGTATACCAACTGAACTTTTACACGAAGAGGAGAGCCTGATAATGAGAGATTCAGGGGATTGAACAGGACTATAAATCGATGAGTCCAAATAAACAGGGGCTGGGTTTGAACATGCACAGGTATGGTGCCACGTACGGGGATTCAGCACAAGATAGTTCAAACTACAACCACATCAAAGTGCTCTTTCTTTCTTCTGGTCGTTGCTAGCTCCTGATGAAACTGATACTTTCCATTCCTTGATGGCACGGTTTTGAAATTTTCCATCCTCATGTCATGTTGACACCACATGTTGGAATAGAGATATTACGAGATCAGGCAAATCTAAAAATGCTATTTAGTAGGTGGTTCCTTGCAAGAATTTCAGTATTTTTCACTAGGCGCATTGTGAAGTTATCATTTCTCAGCTGTCCCAGGAAATGAGAAAAGTGGGGTAGCTTTCCTCATCAATATCAAGAAATGAATAGACAATATTTTCCGGTCTAGTAAATAATTAGAGGCAACTTGGGATGGCACCGGCTGGGGGCTCTTCACTCGGAAGGAGGGTCAGCAAAGTTTGAGCTGAAAAGGCGGGTTTGAGGAGCGTGTGTGTGTGTGGACTTTTACTGCAGGGCATGTAGACTGTTTGCCAGCTCAATATAAGTTGTGAAATGACCTCGGCTGATTGTTGTTTCAGAAATCTCTTCCTAGTTGGGAAAGGAAGATGGCGACTGTTGGAGTTGCTGGGACACTTTGGGGGATCCAGAAGGCCAAAAAATATGGCATGTTTCGAGCTGCGATCCCAGCTCACTTGCCTCTCATGTTTGCTACGTGCTGGATTGGCAACCGCTGGAGCTTGGTACAAGCGAGGCGACGGAGGGAAAAAGGGAGGCACCGCAACAGGGCTTAATTTTGCTTGCAGAATGAACAATTTTGCTTCCAGAATTGCAGAATAGGCTTAATTGCAGATTCTGGAAGCATGGCAATTCAGGTTACTTTGAATCTCGGAATCATCCTCCCTGACTTACACCCAAGTGAACAAGCTATCTATAGTAAGTGAAAGTTTGTTTCTGAATCTATCAGGCCTTAATAATTGTTCAAGTCTGATTTTTATGTTCTCTTGTAAATTCTAATGGCAGCTGCAATTTTTGACAAGCAAATTTCATCAGTACTGCTGTACTGGTAGTACTGGTACTGTTCTTTCTCTATAGAAATGTGGGCAATGTTATTTACTAACTGAACTTTGCAAAGCACAAACAAAAAAGAGACCATATTGATCAACGTGCCATTCTGTAGAGATTATCGTACATTTCATCCCCTCAAATACAAGTTTTTTGTTGTTCTTCAGGTGAGAAGATGAGAAGATGTGGAGTTCTTCCTCAAGCAAAAAGTGGCTGGGCAATAGGAGCATACTGATTTACTGAATGTGGATGGTGCTTTCTTTCTTCCAGGTGAAGATGTGCTGAAACTGCATGTTGATGGTGCTTTTTCTTCTTCTTCCAGGAAACGGGAGGAACCATGGCGGCAATGGCTTTGCTGTACTATACATGATTCTGAAGGCTGAGTAAGTTGATGATGCCCTGAAGCTTCAGTGACAAGTACGGCCTGATCATGGCGAGAGTTTTATTCAGGTAAGCTCCTACTTTTCTCTTTTTTGAGTCTTGCAAGTTAAGTAATCCTTCTAGTATTGTACTATAGATTTGAATAAACTAGCAGCATCTGGTGCTTCAATCAATTTTGTATATTTTGTTGGATCTTCACTTGGATGTAAACAATTTGAACGAGTCATGCATGTATGTAAACAGTAAGCGTTATGTAAATTTTGTACTCTGAACTCTGAATTTGAATCCCTGAATCTTTCAGACTCCATGTGTGAACTTTCAAACTTATTATACCCAAGTCAAGTGTGAAGCTGTACAGTAAGTGCTTAAAAATCTTCCAGGAGTCAAGTTAACTTGAATCAGAGCTGAAAATGTGTGATTTGCTTCAGACACTTCAGAGCCACAACTATTTTATCAGTATTTTCCATTATCACAGCGGCATCTGTATGACACGAGTTCTTATGTTTTCAGAACGTTGGGACTGGGCTTAACTAATTATGTTGATAAATCACTTATCTTAAACTAGATCAGTGATTAGAGGACTTTGAGCGAAAAGCTCTTGCGTCTTTTTCATAAATGCCCAATTTTGTATTATTAAAATGTGTGTATTTTCGTACTTGTTCGCTGAAAGTATTGGAGGCATGTGATGAAAACCAAGTGCTAATGCTAGCTGACTGCATCATTCTTATGTCTGGAGTTTATATCTCCAACATTTACGCATATTCATTTACAGTAGAACTTCAGTAGTGAACTTACTACATGAAGGCAATGTGCTGACAGTTAATAATAAAATACAGCTCCCGAATTAATCCCGAAAATTGAAATGAGGCCATGATGAGCGAGATGAGACCACGGTGACCGTGAGGATGACCAGGAGAAGAGCATCAACTGGGGGATGATGTTGTACTGGTAATTCAGAGCCTTATAATCAGAGATTCATTCAGGGTGCTCATGACTATAAATTGACGAGTCAAAATAAACAGGGGCTGGATTTGAACATGGAGAGGTTCAAACTAGAACGGGGATTCAGTTCAACTAAATTATCAGAGACAGGATGGTCCAAACTAGAACCACATCAAAGTTCTCTTCCTCTTTCGTTCCTTTGGTTGTTGCTAGGTCCTGATGAGACTGATACTTTGGTTCCTTGATGGCACGGATTCGAACGTTCCATGGGATGAGAGGCAGGAGTCTTCTCTTTTCTGGGTGGCTGTATTGGTACCGCTCTTCTCTTTTGTATCTCTTGCGCGCCGTGTCTCTACTACGTCTACGTACCGGGTGGTTCATCTCGG